AATAATATTCTCAAATTTTTAAAATTATCAAGTTGTTCTGTCAATCGGCTATAGAGTTGACAATTACTTAAATCCCACAATTCTAATGTATTTGAAACATATACAGAGAACATTTTTAAGATTTTAGATATCTCTTAACTCATGTTAACACCAAAAAGGGAAATTGACCTTAAGTTGCAAAAATTTCCCATTGACATTAAGATTTTCCCTTTACGCTCTTTATTTCCAGAGAAGTCCAGGTTAACAACAAAGTTCATCTCTCCAATGGCATTAGAAATTTGACCCAGCAAGTTATTAAACTGTAGGTTTAAAAACTTAAGAGGGCTAAAACTTAAGAGTTAAAAAGATTGAATGATAGATCAAGGTGCTTCAGAATAGTTAGATTTTGAAGATCAGGAGGAATTTGACCTTCAAAACTGTTAAATGACAAATCAAGGAAAACCAAATTCTTAAGAGCAAAAACCCAGTTTATTGTTGATAAGTTTACAAAATTATTCCAACAAAAGATCAAGGGAAGCAAGAGATGATAAATTTACACTTGGAAGGGCCTCAGCTAGTACTTGGGGGAGCTAAGAGCTAGCCAAGTTTACTTTTACCAAGGAAGGAAGGATGTTTACGAAATGAAACCAATTGAAGGCCCTTCTAAGGTTATTAAAGCTCCAATCAAGGTGTTCTAATGAGGAAAGACTAGATAGCCAATGGAGATTCTCAACATGCAAACCATTATCACGAAGATTGAGATACAGCAAATAGGGGAGATTCCTAAGATGTTGAGGAACCTTCCTGCAAATCTTGCGTTGCTTAAGTCAAGGTATTCCTAAACTCCTTAAAGAACCAAAGGAACTCAAGAATTTGAATTCGTTTAAAATCATTGTTGTTGAAGTTCAAATAACTCAAATGCTTCAAATGGAGCAAAGAAGGACTTATCTTACCAACTAGCTGTGATGTCAAAGGAACTTGAAAAACATACTCAGGCTCATATGAGTCCAAATAATGAATAGGAGCACTGAGGTGGAGCTGGAGGACATGACCGGTCAAGTTATGGCAAGCAACACCCTTCCATCTGCAACAATCTCCATTATCAGCAACCCAAGAGGCAAGATGGCCAGCATTATCAACCACACCCTACTTTAACTCCAAGAGAGCTTGCCTCTCCATCTCTATGCAGACTCCATTGCAAAAGGCAATAAGACTGAGAAATCCAAAGAAGATAACTGCAGGAAGATTCCTAGAGATTTCTTTATGGAAAATGATTGGTCAGGTACTTGGCACTCAATGATGGTGTGTGAGCTATTTATATTCGTCTCTATCCAACAAGTTCCACAAGGTAAACGCATTGCTTAAGGCTGCCGTTTTGCACTTCTAGTTATATATATTTTTGGGCCACTGCCAAGGATATTATAATCAGAGTTTCTTTGTGAAACAAAAGGTTTAATGAAATTATGAAACCCTGTTTCAACTTCAACAAAGTCGCAAATCTCTACCTCTGTATATTCAGTTTATGAAGTTACCTTTGCAAGAGTGCAGACTCTAGTAATCTGACTGAAAAAAGAGAAGGTTAAATGTCAATTTTGTGCCCTCAACTTTAGGATTTTATATAATTTTTATTCTTTAATTTTTTTATGTACTTTTTTTTATTCCCTTAACTCTGAAAAATACATTTTTTTAGTTATTCTATCAGTTACTCCATTAAGTTATTCTATCAGTTACTCCATTAAATTTATCTATATATGCATATTTTTAGTCTCTCAACATATAATAAATGCATATTTTTTGTCTCTTAACTTAAAAGTTCAAAGACTAAAAATATGAATATATAAACAAATTGAATGAATTAATTGACAGAACAATTAAAAAAGTGCATTTTTTATAGTTGAGACTTGAGAGACCAAAAAGTGTATTAAAAAGTTGAAGGATGAAAACTATACAAAACTCTAAAGTTGTGGAACCAAAATTAACATTTAACCAAAACAGAAATACCTTTGTAGCTTGTGTAAACTATAGAAGAGATGATTGGTGGTTGGCTGTTTATATGGCTAAATAGTGGGTTTACATTAACACCAACCTTATGACTAGGACCGCGTGGTGATGGCATAGTTTGAACTTTCAGTTACTCCCCCTAAAAATAGGAAAGCACAATTATACATGATCAATGAGATGACATAGCAGAGTTTTTAAGTCAGATTATACATTAGCAAAGTTTTCAAGTCAGATCACTGATTCGTTGAACGAAAGCTTGTTTAATTAATTATGTTGCAACGTAATTATATATCTAGGAGTAGGCCATGGAATAAGATAAAAAGAGCCTCTAAAATTAGTTTTCAAGATTGCTAGTACTGGTGAGGAAGGGAAACTGAAGGGAAAAGGCAATACAAAATGATGGATTGGCAAAAGGAAAAACAAATTACAACTATACATGATGGATTGGTACATTCTTCACACTCAATCACCAAAAAGCCCTGTCTACTCCTTTTCTTCAAAAAAGAAAAAGAAAAGAGCCCCCTCCACCTTCAAACCCAGCTCAACTCTTAAACTACAACAACTCACTTCAGTACAATGTACTGAAAACAAAAAAATGAAAAAATGAGTACAAAGACTTCCAATGCACAAACGTGACAACCTGCATCAAATACATAGAATTTTGATTTCAAGATCAACAGCCTTCATAAGAAAAACAGCAATGGATCATCAACACCTATGTGAAACACATAAAACATGTACCAAAAAGAAACCAGATCTGAATTCTATTTGTAAACAAATTTTTGTTGAATCAGCTATCAAATAATAATGACCTATTTGATGTCTAGAATATCAACAGGCTCCCTCTTTTGGATATAAATGAAAATATATAAATGTTTCTTTTCTATGTTGCTGTTTGGTTATAAATGAAGATATATAAATGTCTATTTCTTCTAATTTCTTATTTACCCTTTTAGCAAGGCATGGCCCTCTAATTCACATACTTAAAATATATATATATATATATATATATATAATCCTGGATCTGCTAAACTTCAAGTTCAGAATTGAATGAAATATATTACTACGCTAAACTTCGTAGAAAAATTAGAGAGAAGGCAGTGAAGCAAAAGCAGGGAGAGAAATTAGATAGGAATAGCAAAGAACGCTACATACCAATACTTCTCTGTTTCTCAGATGATGGTAATGCAGGCAATGACATCTCTGCAAAGGAGTAATCATTAGGACATTGGGGAGAAGAGGTAACCAAAATTTGCCCATTGCAGAATCCAAACTTCAATTCTATTGATCCCTTCTATGTATAAACAAATGTAACAATGTATAAAGTCATTACTTTTTAAAACAGTTACCTGGAGCACATAAAGTTAAGGATGACATTGAGGATGATGAAGGCCATGGAGCTGCAATGTTGTCAGTTAAGTCACATGTAAAGCTGTAGCCTGTTGAATTGTCAAGTATCACATCTGCAGGCAAACTTCGTAGTAGACACCCTGCATATGTGTACATGATTACACATTAATAAACGGTAAATACGCATCATTCCAGAAAGTAACAAGAATACAAGAATTTTCCTTCAATGCAGAATGAGATATCAAGACAAACCTTGCTGTCCGTATGCTTCTTCAGTGCCCAAGAATAAGTCCATAAAAAGAGGCAAAAGAAGGAAAACCAATATTAGATAGACAGCAGAAGAAGAAGACAAGCAAATAGATTAGAAGATACACAGAAAAACAGGATTTCATACCTTGAATGCTAAAATCTTTCAAGTCAACATCACAAAGCTCATAAACATTTGTCATGACTCCACCTTTTCGTAATATAGACCCAAATTCCATTGCACAGATAATTGCTTGCTTGTTTGTAATTAACATCTGCTTTTGTATCCCCCCAATATAAGTGTTTAATGAGCTACAGCAGGAAGGACTTGGAGCACCTATATTACGGCATGCTTTAATTACTTCTGAAGGCTGCTTGAATTCTAAAGGGCAGACTGCAAAGAGATGATTATGCCATTATAAGTACAATCACAGATAAACACAAATAATTTTCAAGGAATCTGCAAGCAAGAAAAGAGAAAAAAAAAATGAAAAGAAAAAAAAAATGAAAAAGAAAGAAAGAAAGAAAGAAAGGAAACTGGCAGATAATGAGCAAGTTCATACTCCAAAAATTATGGTACATCTATGAAGATTCAGTTCAGCAGAAGAGGACAAAAGACAAGCAATAACAAGATGTAAAGTTGAGAAAAAAGAAATTAAAAAAAAAGACTGTACTGTACCCTTGTTAACTTTGCAAGAAGATAATATTCGGAATGCATTATTTGCATCCTCTTCTGGGAGTTTCTTTGAAAGATATGAATACACCACACCCTTGCAATCATTAATGGAATCAACATGTGCAGGCTGCCCAATTACATTTCTGTTCTCACTCATTGTCATTTGTGCTCCAGATATAAGCAGAGCAGCCTCCATAATTGAAGGTTGGCAAACTGGCCTGCAGCACTCCTTTAGCTGATCAACAGCACTGCACGCTTCCAGCAATTTGCTTGTATTTACCATTTTCTCAAAGCGACTAATATCCTTCACAGGACAAGAGCCACCAGTCAAATTTGATGGTTTTACAGAACAAAGCATGGGTAATGTCCTGTTGGCTCCTTTACTAGCTAAGATACTAATGATATCCGAAAAACAATCATTAGCAACCGCAGTTTGAAGGACCAAATTATCAGATTTGCTGTTGTAGTAACCCTGGAAGATGTGGAGTAAACTACCCAGCTGGGGACAACATATTACATTACCAACAAGCACTGCCAAAGGTACAGAACAATCAGACGCTGTTTTTTCCATTATACTTGACAAAGCAGAAAAATTTACAGGACACCTTCCAGTTAAATTTGGCTCATATGGTGGGGGGAAAGTTGGGTACAGGGGTGGCACTGACTCGCCAGGATATGGATTCTGTGGAATGACAGCTGGTGATATTTCTATGGGATCAAATAGTCCAGTAATAGGTGGATTAGCTCGCTCAGAAGTGGAAGGTACATGACTCTCGTCAAGCAATGTCTGCAATGCTGCTACATCTTGGAAACTTGATAGCCAGATAATAAATAAAAACAATTGTTGGCACAAGAAACCTGCAACCAGATATAATAGAATCCAGTCATCAAAACTCATGAATCATGTAAAGGATAATAACATTAAACTCAGAATGCCTTGTCTCAATGCGTAGCATGAATTAAAGAATTCCAATAACATACCCTTGAGACAACTAACAGCCAGATAACATTCCATAGTTATGCTAGCCTTTTCTCACCATTGAGTTTTACAACAGAAAGTCGTACATAATCAATTATATGCCACAACAAACATTTGCAGCATTGCATCACAACTTCTAGTACTTTCAAGCATTAGAGCTAGAGTTGAAAGAGAAGTCCATGTCCTGGAAAGAAATCCCATTTATTGTTAAATGTCAACAAATAAAACACGTTCTTTCTCAATTTATTGGCTAGAAGAGGAAAAACATGAATCTTTAGAAAAGTGAAGTAAAGATAGCAGCTCAATGAACTAATCATGTAGAGTTCAACTTTTCTAAAAATAACTCAAATGCTAAATCTCATTTTTTTTCAAGAAAGTAGAAAATCTAAAGATAAAAACTACCCCCGATAAAACATAATCTCAGCTCCAACTTTGCAGTTTCCTTCTCACTAATCCACAAGTTTTCCCTCTTAAGCTACAAAAACCAAGAACACTCAAACTCCGAAATTTCTTTACTTTCCTTTATTTTCTCAGCAGCCAAACAGAGAAAAAGAGAAAGAAAAACACAAAGGAAAAAAGAAAGTGAGGGAGATGATAAAAGTTACCTGAAGATGTTGAACACATACAGAATTTTCCGGTAAATTTATCGATTCAAGCATTATGGGATGCAAATGCGCAGAAATTGCATCATTTTCTGGTACGATCAGATACTGAAAATGGAAGTCTCTGCAGAAACCCTAATAAAGTTGAAGCCCCGTCTCCGCACTGAGTATCCGGAGCTGGTGGCTAAAATAGACAGGAGAAAGCTTAACTTTACCCTTTTTGACTTTACCCGACATTTTCTTCGGATCCGGATTCCTGTCTGAACCCGACTTACTATTTTAGGTAGTACGACTCCGTTAACGGCGTTAATGTGCTTTTTGGGGTGTGGTTATTAAAGGTTAAAGTCACTAAAATATTTTCGTTTTTTTTTAAAAAATATTTGAAAATAATATTTATTAATATTAATTTATTAATTATTTTATTAATTCTTTATAATTATTAATTATTTTTATCAATTAAATTAACAAATTAATTATTAATTATCTAAAGAATTAAATAATAATTTCTTTTTGTTGTTGAAAACAAAAAAATTTAAAATTTCGATCCATATAATATATAAAAAAAATAAGATAAAAAATAAAAAATAATTATTTTTCATTATTTAACTAAAATAAACATTTGAATTTCGTGATTCGAATAATTATGCACTTAATTATAAAGTATACCTCTAATCTTAGAGTTAAAATTTAAACTTTCTGCTTAATAAAAAATATTAATATTTTTAAAAATATTATTTTAACATGGGGATAGTCGTGCCTCGTGCCTGCCTTTTCCAGGGTTATTAAAACGGAGCAATATTAGGCCCAAGTTAGAAGCTGTCCAAAGTTGCCCATTTTATTGTTTTCAATTCGGCCCAATTAATTGGGCCTAAATTCTGAGCACTGAAATTCCTCGGCGGTCTGGTCTCAAACTCTCCATAAACCCTTTACTGCAATTCTCCTTTCATCTTCCTCGACGTCGTGGCCGCTGAAACCGTCACCGGAAACCCGAAGATTACGTCGGAGGCAGTGATGGCTACCTTGGAATGAGATTACTGTGATTGTTTTGTTTCTCACTGTCTAAGTAATAGTCTTCATTTCGAAGCTTGATGATGATTTTGATCTTGTTTTTTTCGCAAACTGAAGCTTAAGAGGCATTCTTTTGCTCACTTGATTCATGTTAATCTGCTTATGGAATTTGATCATATGTTCTGCTGCTGGTGTTTTTGGATTGAGATTTTGAGCGACAACATACTGGCAAAAGAAAATCGAAAATAGGTAGAAAGGATGCAGATTTTGTTTTAATATATGCATCTAGTGGATTGATTTAGCTGTATATACATTAAAAACGTTGTTTTGATATATACATTACTTCGTTTTCTCTCACTCCTTCTGCTCCTGATGCATGTAGTTTGGCTGGAAACCAGTGTAGTTTACATTTTTCATCACAGGTTACTGTTTCTTGTTTATGGGATTTTGATTTAACTGGGACTGGGTTTGGTTCTGCTAACACTGATTCATATGAAGTGAGGGTATTTAGACTTTTTGAGGATTTGGATTTAGTTTAAGTTATGATTAAAATGATTCTTTTTGGAAAGGATTTTGAGGAAAAGGGATTGTTTATGGTTTGTTAGTAAATATTAATAATTTATTAGTGCTTAATGACTATAATGTTATATGTTATAACCAAAAAATTGATGTGATCTTATTTTTCTTAATTTTGGTGGATGAAAATCATCAGTAACTTAAACAAAAGAATCAATTGGCCAATTTGACAATCCCAGCTAGCCTTGATTACGGATTTAGGTACTAATGGGATTAAGATAGTGCACATGAATTTTTAGTTATAATATCAACTTTGAGAAGCTATTGAGCTGGATCATCTCTGATTGAACAGTTTGTGGATATTTGTGATTTGTCTTTTCTTGGTACTTATGGCTTAACTTTAATATTTTTTTGTAAAGAATGATAATTTTGTGGACTTGGGTAATTAGATAATGGAATTGCAGTGTGCTTAATGTATTCATATACATGCTGATGTTCAATGATTTTTCTCTTATGTATTTATGCTTCTTTTTTTTTGTTGGATCATGGATGCTAACCAGTGCATTGCTCTTTTTGTGCTTGTTCTGTAGCATTGTAAAAACATAGTTTGAATCTGCATTTGAAGAAAGTTTCTGGAAAAATGCAGAATCTTTCTCGTATCATTTCACGTCTTTCATCCACTTCGCTTGGCACAACTGTGAGTGCAGCTAGAATCTTGAAGGAGAAAACAGCGCCCAAAGTTGGAAATGATACATTAAAGACTGGACGTGAGACATATCAAGTTGTCAGATCACATGCTTTTTCTGGGAAATCTTGGGGAAGTAGTTTCAATGGTGGGAATCAAGATAATGATGAATGGGGGAGTGCTGTTGGTGGAAGTGGTTTGTCTGTCGGAACCACTTCTGATGATATTGGATGGGACACTGATTCATCATGGTCCACTGGATTGACTGAGGAGCATTTTGATGGGCAGGTTGTGGGCCGTCAAACTACTTCCGCTGCTGGTGCAGGAGATGCATATCAATCTTCAGTAATTTCTAATCTGCAGGAAATTGATGATAAGATAGAGGAGTTGGAAGCTGAGAATAAAAGGAGCAAGCTTTACATTGATGGATGGAATCAGAGGATGCAGGAGACATGTATTCTGCTGAAGCAAGTGCGGGAGCCTGGTGCAAGGGGCTCTTATCTGAAGGACTCTGAAAAGGCTGAGATGTACCGCCTGCACAAGGAGAATCCTGAGGAATACACGGTTGAGAGACTTGCCAAGGATTACAGGATTATGAGACAGAGAGTGCATGCAATTCTTTGGCTGAAGGAGCTTGAGGAGGAAGAAGAGAAAAGGCTTGATCATCCCCTTGACGACTCTGTTGAGCTGTTGCTTGACACATGCCCAGAGTGAGATATGAATCTAATTTTTTATTAGCCATGGCAACCACAGAAGCATTTCTTTGCTTTTACAGATTTGCTTGTTTCTGTCTATATTACCATGTTTGATTTAAAAGTATTAGATTCTTCTGGCCTACCATCAGCCACCATTGTTATTTTATTGGAGAAATGGCTATTTGGTTCATTGATTTTAATAAAGAGTTTGCTATTGCAGGTTTTTTATTTCTCATGACCGGGAATTCCATGTGGCATCCCTTCCTTATAAACCTGACTTCAAGGTTATGCCAGAGGGTTGGGATGGTACCACCAGAGACCTAGATGAAGTTCACTATGAGATTTCTAAGAAAGAGGATGAAATGTTGTATAAAGAATTTGTTGAAAGGATGAACTTCAATAAGAAGAAGGTATATTTCCTGCACACTCCTTTTGCATCGGGGAAAGCAACTAGCAAAAGAATCAGTAATATAAGTTAGAATATTTAGTTTTATGCTTTGCTATTGCAGCTCTTTTGCCACTGATTTTTTATTGTGGCTTTAGTTTTTCGTTCTTCCTGCTCTAGTTCTTATTGATGCATTTGACACCCCTGTGTACAGATGGCTGGTGAGGTGAAGTGCCACAAGTATAGCAGGCGGCGTCCTGATGATGGATGGAAGATCACAGTCGAGAAACTGGGACCAAAAGGAAAACGTGGAGGTGGTGGTGGATGGAAGTTTGTGAGCATGCCTGATGGGTCCAGCCGACCACTTGATGAAATGGAAAAAATGTATGTAAGACGAGAAACACCACGTCACAGGCGCAGGATTCTCCCCTGATGCACTCCAAACAACATGCTATTGAAGGACTCCTTGGTTTTCTGCATTTTATGATTTGGATTCTGGATTTCTGGGGCAATAGGGCATCATGCTGTGTCTACCGTTCTCCCCCTTAGCTTGCAGGACTTATTTTTCCAGAATATAGTTATGAAATCTAGCTTTAAATCTTGCCTTATCTTTCCATTCCCAATAATTATTTCCTGTGTAATGATTACAAGAATAATTGTTAATGAAATGATTTGTTGATGGCTTCTGGCTAGCATTCAGATGAATCATTTTCCTTGTTCTCAATGACAATGAGTCCGTGATCATCGTTTTAGAAAAGAACCATTCTCTCCCTGCATTTATTTTCCTTGCTTGTTTTTGACTTTTTAACTTATTTTTTTTCAATTTTCTTGAGATTATTTAAAGCAGCTGAAATTCAAACTGTTGGTTATTACTTTGAGATTCTTTCAAATAAAAAAAAAAAATGAAAAGTACTCGGAACATTTTGAAGTTTGAAATCATCTGAATTTCATTTAATATTGTGGAAAATTTATTTTAATTTTTAATTTTAACTTCTATTTATCAATTTTAGTTGCTTAAATTTTTGCAACAAAAAAAAAAACCTGTGATGGCAACGATACCAGAGTCAAGCTACTCACGGGTAACTCAATTCTAACAGGACGCTTCCGAACTCAGAAAGTATGAGTTGAGTTCAAACTCAAGTATCTCAACACAAAACTCATTCATATCTTATTGGTATGAGTTGAGCTCGGACTCGAGTACGTTGGTCATTAAATTGACTCGCTACATTTTGTTCTTACAACTTCAGACCAAATCCAGTACACCTTGTAAGATTCAAATTTTGCCTGATTGCCAACGGACCCGGCTTCTTAATTAGGAGCGAAAGTGCAATGACATCTTCTTAATCCATCAAAAAATTGTGATATAACTTGCTTAATGATTAAATAGCAAGCTAAAATAAATGTTTTTAAAAAATACCAAGGTTGGTTATCATGGAAGCAGGCCACATTTTCAACATGAAAAAAGACATTTTTTTTCCACATGTAAATCTTATATGGATTCTAATCCTGGGACTCAGTGGAGGTAAACGTAGGTCTGTCCCATTGATCTCAAACAGAGCTCGCCAAGGCCATCTCCTTGTAAAAACTATTGACTGCATGCCTATA